TTGCGGCAATGCTGTCAGCAGGTATCTGCTGTGCGTTAGCGAGAAACCGAAGGAAGCCCAGCAGATAAGTTGAGCCTTTAGAATTAGCACGAAGTTTGACCCGTGTTGTTGTTCTTTTTTTGTTTTTTGACATTTAAACCCGCGAAACAGGCGAAGCTGAGCATGCCAGCTACTTCTTCTATATGGGTTCCTTCATACCACGCCGCAGGACACAGCAGCCTGCCGCAGCACGCGGCAGCACGCAGCAGCACGCCGCGTCCTGCCGCGTGCGCCGTTGCAGTCGCAATGAAAATATAAGCTCGCTGCTGTGAAGGAACACTTTCGGAGAACACGAACGTGCAGCAATATACAGATATACATCCATAACCGGCACTGTGCTGCTGTGAGCGAGTGCTGCCGCTTGCGCCGCAGCACGCAGCGTCCTTCGGCGTAGTATGAAGGGACCCTATTTCTCTTAAGCTCTATTTCAAATTCTGTTACTGTTCTCACACCAGTGGCTTTGATCGATTTCCACTTGCATTCTTACCTTACTTTCAAAAAGCTGTTGAATAACCTTCTCATCTCCTTGTAGTTCAAATATGCCCTCAAGTTCAAACCGTATTTCTGCTGTCACTACACTTCAAAGACCTCCGACTACTCATAATACACTTTCTTCAAGATGTTTAATGATCAAGTCTGCCTCATATCTTTTGTGTCTTCTGTTGTCTTCACTAATTATTGCCATGTGATAATTGTGGTTTGGCACCGATTACTTATATGTGAAATATTAGGTCGTTCCAAAAGTAATTTTGCTTTTTTTTTCAAACGGGCGCCACATTTGATGGAAGAGAGATTTCTAAGAGATTTTGGTAGCATTCGATGCAGCATTTTAACCTCTATATAAAGGATATGAAAACGCTGCAGCACAGTCAATGAGCTTTCGAAAAATAACCATCTAAACCCATGCTTTTTTAGATGGTCAAGTGTCACAATTTTTTGAAACTTTCATATGAATCCTCAGAAGGATTTCGAGTGAAGATTCGATAGAGCAAACCTTATAGAATACAATGCAACTTTTTCCTCTTTTTCATAGCTTGCTGTAATTTTTTAATATTTTAACAAAACCATCGGATTTTGGCCAGCGTACGTCTACCACAATCACATCAAACGTCATTATCGGAATTTGACTACCAAGATGGCACTATGAGATAGCGCTCATTTTACAAGGCAAGTGAGAGTTTACGGATTCGAAATATCAAATTTCGAGTCTTACGGGCACAGCCTGGGGCTCGTTAGAAAATATGAGTTAAGGTGATTTTATCCCCGAAAACTAAACAAATCGGAACAAAAAACACTCGTTAGAAAAATGAGAAAATGCTGCACTAAATGTGCCCAAGCCATCCTTTTTTGTTCTACGAAGATTTAGCTCTCCAAGTAAGGAAATTGGTAACATCACTTAAAATTCTGTTAAAAATGAATGACAAGCTATGGAAAGGAAAAAAAAGTTGTTTTGCATTGACTGTTTTGCCATCTAAAATCTCAATTTCATAACCATTAGAAAGAGAATGAAATGCTGCATCCAGTGCTTCCAAGACGTCTCAGAAATCTTTCTTCCTCTAAATGTGGCGCCCGTTTGAAGAGAGCGAAATTACTTTTGGAACGACCCAATATATTCTTTTGCCTTTTCTCACTTACTTCATATGCTCAACTTAATCCTTTAACTAGGGAAAATTCGATCCCAGTCTCAAAAACTTGCCATATCCCAAAAAAAGTCTCAAAATGCACTAAGTGCCGCTTAAAAACCATCACTTACAGAAAAGCTTTACCATCCTATGCACTCAGCCTTAATAGTCAAAAGAATGTCTCGCTATGTGAAAAACGCGGCGACTAAAAAAGCACTGATACAGCAAAAGTCCTGCGTGCCGGTTATTAACCATTACTTATAATCTTGCCATAACCAAATCTCAAAATGCACTGATTATGAGTAGGGACTGTCCTAAGATCCTACAAAAAGCTCAATTTTGAAATTTCAAATATTGCTCAATCCTTGATGAATTTTGGCACCAAAAATAAACATTGTTTCAAAATGCACTATATTACCTTATAAACGAAATGTAATATTAGCCGTCGACAATCATCAACAAGCTGTTATCATTCAAACTGTGGATAACCATGTGTCTAAACTAGACTCAATTCATATTACGCGTATAGGAAATGGGAGTGTTGATGAGATTGCTGCAGCATGGTTACCAATATTGAAAAGCCGATATCGAACACAAACTGGCACAATGCCAAGAATCCAATTCCAATCAAGATTTCGAGATCAATCTTAAAAACAAAGATCAGTTATTTCGACAGAAATTTCGAAATATTTCGCAACAAATTTTTCCGTCTGCTGTCTCCCAACTTGCCTTGAGCTATCGCGGGAGCGGAGCGGTAAATAAGCTGTACGTTGCGTAATCATCCTCGAAAGGAGTGCTTGTGTTATTATCGTGCTTTTCTTTTGTCTTACTTCTTATTTATCAACTTCCATTTGGCTTATGTGCCTACCCGTCCTTGTTTCCTCTAATTTGATCACCCTATGTCACCTACTTGCGCGATTTCCTTATGGAAGCTTGGTGTAAAAATTGTAGTTTTTAGTCGAGCGTATGCCCTAGTTGCATTAGTTCTTAGCATATCTTTTGTGAGTTTGTTTCTACCACTGCTTTGCTCATCATGCCGGAGGACACTGAAGCTTTTTTCACGATGCACTTGTATCCATACAAAGTGCCTGCGATGAGTTAGCGGAGCAGGTTTTGGAGCTTTGCCTATGCGTGCCAGCTCAACACGTCTACATCGCAAGGACCTGCAGCGGCACCAAAATGTTTTTCTGATAGGAACCCCTTTCTTTTTAATGCCAAAACTATTAGGAGCGTTCTCGACGACGCACGGGCGCTCGTCCTCTCACATTATCTTGATTGACCACATGTTAAATACTACACAACTGAAAGTCGTGCTTCGCATCGCCAGTATGCTAGGAAGTGTGAATTGTACACATCAAAGGACACGTCCGAAGTCATTAAACTACAGGACTGCCACGGCGGAAATCTATCAAGCGAAATTCATCTTTTAGATTGACGGATACCACTCGACGTAATGTCTCTCCCCTGTAATCGGATTCCATTCATGTTTATAAATTTTGGATCGTCGGCAACGCGAGCTCAAAGCAAGCCTCTCTACAATCGCGTAGAAGCTGACATATGTTGGAGAGTTGCATGCCGTTTGTTAGACTTCGAAGACGACTTGCTTAGCGTGCAGACCTATCGTCATCGCGCAGGGTGCCCGCGCAAACCCTGAAAGTCGGTGCGAATCATCCGCTGAACACGGTACTGGAAACAGGTGCCTGGACACTCCTTTTGAGTAATATGAAAGAGAGAGAGAGGAAGGCCTGAGACCGTGTGAATGTAGGCTACGTATCTAGAAAGCTTTTTTGAAAACTTTGGGCACTCTGGCTAAAAATTTTTCAAAATAAATTCTGGAGCTCTTACATGGGTGGACAAAGACCTCAGGCACAGAGAAGGGACCAATGAATTTAGCGCCGCAGTCAGAAAAGTTTTAGAAGAATCTTGGGTAATTTTGCTGAGAAAACCATGGTGAGTCTGGAAAAATTTGACGAAGAGAGGCTTAGGCACCTTGCTCAAGGGAATATCCGGGGAATGAATTTCGGTGCGTTCGCATGCAGTGTCTACAGCAACTTTTGATCAAGGAAGAGAAATGGACACCATGAAACAAGCGCTCTCATCCAGAGAAGTTTTGAAAGAAGGACGTGGAAACCTGGAGAAGTATCTGGGCTCCAACATAGTAATTTTGAGGTTGTAAAACAGAGAGCGAGAAAATGAGGACCGTATGAGCCTAGAGGGGGAAGCCTTGAACATCTTCGTCACAAAAGTTCGGAAAATAAGTTTTGCTGCATTCGCATGCATTGGCTAATGCAGCTCTACAATAAGAAGGAATGGCGATCATAAATGGAGGGAACTCCGGGTACTTTCGCTAACCCACGAAGAAGCGCTTCAACTCAGAACTTTATAGAACAAAATAGGTTGAAACGAGTAGTGGAGAAGGTATGATGAGCAGGGCACCTACCTAGTATACTTGGGTAAATTTGGAATTTTTCATCGAATGAATGAATATCGAATAAATTAAACGAATATCGAATAAATTCGAGATTCAAAAATTCTAGAATGAATGAATCCCGAGTAAAATTGGAAAATTTGTTGGGAAACTTGAGTGCTTTCGAGCGCTTTGGGGCGTTTTGAAATAAGTCTAACGGGAGCTTCAGCTAGCTCCAAAATCAGTTTCCATGTGCGATCTGGGACTAGTTCAGCTGAAAAAGGAAGAAAAAATTTGGGCACCTTGGCCATGAAAGCTCAGAGGAGACGGCGGGCTGGAATACGGAACCCTGAGAGATTATATACAGGGATGATGAAAGAAGCGAAAAGTGGGGAAGGCTATTTAGGGAGTTTTCGTGAAACTTCACGCACCCTGGTATTCAAAAAAAGGGGAGGGGGTATATTAGGACTTTGGCATGCAGAACCTGAGGAAATCTGGAACATCGGCTACAGCAGATTAGATACGGCAGGAGAGTGGGCGCCGTGGAACTAAGTAGAGTGCTTATTTAAGAATGAAGACTATCCTGGCACTCTCAGAAGGATGAAAACGAGATGTGGCACTTTTTGTATAGGTGAGTGTTTTCAAATTCTGACGGTTCATAGGCGCTTTTGCATAGCAAAATTTTGGGCAACTACGAAAAGGGGAGCCCTCGGCGTCATTCCCAAAAGGTCTGAAGATTTGGCGAATTTATGCATTAACGCATCCCGAGCGATCGCCCCAGAGTTTGACTTCTCGCTAAGTAAGTAATATATTGACTCAAAGACCTTTTTTTAGTTTTTATTGTAAAGTAGAAGAGAGACTTGGTCTCTCTTATGTTACGCACTTATTCAACTCTTTATTTCAAGTATACAACTATTACAAAAAATCGTCCTTTATTCCAATGCTGGCGGATCACGGCTTCCAATAACGGGTGGCGGAGGACTGGGGTGTACAAAGGCGCCGCCTGCAGCATGTAGGCGGCGCATGAGGGTGCATGAGTGGCGCCACGCCGCCAATGCGCCAAAGATGAAGGCGTTTATGATGAAGTATGTTGCAGCTATCCCTTGGAAAAAGGCCGAAACGAAGCTGTAAGTGCCATGTTGCTCATAGGAACAAAGCAAGAAGATCATGCACTCACACAAGGAGAGGCGAGGGCGCGAACTCCGCACAATGCAACAATTCACGCAACTCGTGCTTGTAACACCACGGGTCCTTCGTTGTCCATGATAACTACAAAAAAATCAAAGCCATAGTTATACTTCATAATCTTCTTCCTCTATGACGCCACACCTGATCCGTTTGATCCGGTTGATTAATTTTAGTATTGCTAATTTCATCGATTCAAGTAACATCAAAACGAATTATTGGATCAAGCGGATCTAGTGGATTGGAATGGCGTGAGTCTTATAAGCGCTATTACTCATGAAAAATGATGAAAACGGTGGGGGAAAACTGAAGTGATTGAAAGCTTGAAAGTTTGGAAATGAAAGTTCAACGTTGAAACATTTGAAAGTACAACGGCTATTGAGCAATGACTTGCGAAATCATGATCGTTGCGGGACCCCTGCTGCCGTTGCCAGCGCCTTCTTGGACTCACCAACCAGTTAAAAGGTTATAACCCACTGGATGATTCTTGATATCCGAGTAATTGAACTCATACAGGAAGAAGGCAATCAATTGAGATAACTCACTGAACGCCACAAAAGCCTTCACCTCTCTTCATTTTCATCACCTTTCCTCCATTACTTTGTGGTTGATATATGTAAGTTCTGAAACAATGGCTAGGTGTACGACTCAAACTCAGCATATCAATGCTTACCATTACCTCGTGTCCTATACGGATACCATGCCTTCGTCATCATGTAGATGATGTTTTCCGAATCGTGATCGATGCCTACAGCCGTAGAAACATTGCGGTGGTGATGGTGACTTTCTTGAAAAAACAGTAAAAACAAAACTAAACTTAGGATTCCTTTCTCTTGTGAATGTAAGAAGACACTTAATCATGAACTGTTACTAGAGGCAAATGAGGTTGTGAAAGGAACGATGCCGTTCCTGGCGGCGCATTGTGTGTAAGTGCACGCCCACATTCACACACGCACTCACCCCCCCCCCCTCAACTCCCCCCCCCCCCCTCCCACCCCCTCTGACTCCCTTCACCCTGGAGGGGCTGCGACCACCGTGACCCCCTTCACCCTGGAGAGGTCATTCTCACCTTATCGCACCTATGATACCAATAGAGACTTGCTCAGGTATTCAGTCAGAGATCCCTCGAATGTAGTGAAAGATCGGTCTGATAGACTACTTGGAGGAAACAGACGAAGCCAAAAGTAGGAAGGAGACTTTTAAAAGGCTTAGAAAGAAAAGAAGAAACAAGGCGCACAAAGCGCAGAAAGATGAGGCAAGATTCCAAGAATCAAAGCGGAATTTTGGATGAACTATCGACCGATACAAAGCAATCGACAAAAGCTGTGAAGATGCACATGCTGAAAAAGAAACAGCGAAAGAATAGATTAGTCGATGTCAAACGGATAAGCGTGGAACAGCAAGATGAAGGTGATTCCAACGCATCAGCAAACAAGAATGTTAAGAAAATCAGCAGTGTCAATGCGAAGCGGTATGGGAAAGTGTGCAGATGTACCGGATACCCTCGCGCATTTTGGGATTTTCTTGAAATGGTCGACTATGTCAGAGAACATACTTGCCGAACTAGTCGCACAGGTGGAAAGACACAACAAAATCAAACAGAAAGGAGTGAACACTTGTTGCGGTGTCAGAAATTTGGAAGAAGATCGCTTGGACATGGATCGCATGGACAAGGATCGCACGGACAAGGATCGCATGCGCAAGGATTGCTTGGACAAGGACCGTTTGGACAAAGACCACAAGGAAAAAAAGGAAGAAGAAATCAAGATTGTAACCATGTTATCATTTTTTTGGTATACGGTAGTATTGTGTTTGCTTTATATTGTTGTGTTGTTACTGTGTATTAATGTTTAGTTTTTTTTCCAAATCCGGGGGGCTAGGTTAGGTGTTGTTAAGTGTCGGGACGCCACTTACGATAAGGGGGGAACGTGTAGCCTCCAGGCGGCCGGCCTAGGTTTTGTCACACTATTAGTCTTGAACCCAACCCATGGGATGTACGAAGCACCATATCTCATGTGTCGGTTCTGAGATGTCTAGTTCGTTCCTCCACAGTTCCTCAATAGCTCCTCAACAGTTCCTCTATTCACTGTTCTGTATTAGCTCGTCTGTATCTCATCAGCTACTCTTATTCTCTGTATTTGCATATCAGCTTCTTTTGTGGTTTGTCATATTTTGTGATAAACCATTTATATTTTTACCAGTTGTTCTGCTAAGTCAGTGGAACCTGCGGTCTAGACCGTCCTACCGCCACTAAGTTTGATTGAAGAGCGCGTCGGTGCTGTTCGCTCAAACGATATACGATTATGATCATGAGATTACACAAAAACTAGTATCCAGTATCGGGGCAGATCATTTATGAGCATAGAAGCAAAAAAATGATATCTGCTGCTACAGAAACGGACTACGAGATACAGTGATAAAAACAAGGCCCGGATGTTGTGCGCAGTATGGTCGCTGCAGGCTGCGCAGACTGTAGTGCTCGCGCGTGAATGTGTGATTGCACCACGCGGCGCTGACTCCGCGTACTTAGGGTTCCGTAGCCTGCCGCGTGCGCCGCGTACCCGCAGCACGCAACGTACGCTGCTCACAGTGAAAGTACGCACATAGCGGCACAGTCTCGCTATGAACACTCGGAAAAACAGGGAGTAGCGGATTTATAAATACAGTGATAGACAGAGTGTGCTGCCATAGGCGTATTCTCGCCGTGACTGCAGCAGCGTACGCGGCAGGCTGCCGCGTCCTGTGGCGTAGTATGAAGGAACCCTTACACGTATTTTTTAGCGAATGCAGACATTAAGATCCGAAGAAACCTCATTTTTGTCATTTCCATATGCTGCAATGCCCAGATATGCATTCAGCATAACGAGAAGGCTTTAACAAGGTTTAAAATAAAGAGAGAAATTCTCACTGCTTCAGAACGCTCATAAAAGGATATCATATTTGCTTGGACGTTTTAGATGATGAGTCCTTCTTCAAAGACCTGATAAACGTAGACTAACTGCTAGGTTAAATATGCCTAAGCTTCAGAAGGATAACTTGAAGAATCAGAACTTTAAGATTTTATATAATAAGAAATTACAAAGCACTCGGTTTTGTGTTCGTTTAATATGATGTGTTTATGTCATCGCTTGCTCATTTCACAATTACTAAATCATTGAGTGAGCATTTGCCTCAACGAATATTTGCCGTAGTAAAGCTAATTCAGTTCAGGTAAACTGAACTGAGGCCCTCATCCAAGATTCAGTAAGGTAGACTACCTATCAGCAGCTCTCCACGTTGTAAGAATGCAAAATGAGATTTCAGCTGACCGTCCGTCTACCTGACGAGGTAGTATACCTTACTTCAGTCAATTCACATTCAGTTAGACTACCAATTGATGTAAATAGTGTGCCAGTGATGATACGCAGAGAAACTTCTCGTAAGTTGCTCCTGAGTAACTTACGACACACGTCAGTTTAACATGTTGGTGAGGAGCCACAGTGATGCTGACGAGACTTAACAAGATGCAACAAGTGCGGCCACATCCCCCCCCCCCCGCTAATGCCAGTGACGTGGATGTGAATGTTTGGCAAATTCGTCTTGACTCGTATACTTGCATAGACGTGGCGCTCTCCATCTTATCATCGTGGGTGGTTGGCAATATCAATCAATGGCTCGACTGAAGGCAAGCTGACTCGTCGAAGCCTCAACTGAAATTTTATTCAGCTGAGATCGAATGAAGCGGCTTTACTGCGGGCCTTGTCTCCAAGAATATATATCAACAGATTCAGTTTTAAAGCAAGGCTCTATTTTAGGTGCAGCGCGAATAATTGAAGTACCTAAGCGGCACTGAATCCGGAATGGACAAGCTGCACAAACAAAGAGAACCCAGACTGCTACAATATGCGACCGGTGCATTATTATATTATGGTTACTGAAATTGTGATTAACACATTGATGACCGTTTGACACACGTGGTGCAGTGACTACCGCATGGGACCGCTTGACACACGTGGTGTGTCAAGGCTCGTATTCCGTTGCACTGACGATTATCTTGGAAGGAACTCAATCTAGGGTCTTTCCTTTGTACTTTACGTAGAAACAATCTTCATCATTTGAATTAGCCTTTGAGAGGTACTGTAGGTAAATTGTATATGGCAGCAGGTCCCATTTGATTTAAAAACGTTGACTGGCCCGTGAGGCCTCGGTCCCTAAAGGCAGACAACTAAAAATTTGCATGGTCGTCAGTTTGTTAACCATCGGATCCTTTTTAGATTGCTTTGCATCTCAGTGCCGTGCAAAACGTGAATCTGGTTGCCAATTCGAATGGATTTCAAGAGACGGCATCGAATGTTCCTATTGCAGTTCAAACTAAGAAAATAAGTGTACACTAATATCATCGTTGTTCTGCATGGTCACTTGAGGCCACAACAAAACAAATTTCAATCTGCAAAACAAGTTTCAAAACAACATCATTTTCATTCTTGCATACAGGATGTCCCAAAATATAATACTATGTCGAACGTCTGAACATCAACAAGTCTTCTACATGAAAAGCTTTCGTGCCATCTGAACCCCATGTTAGAGCTGGCTTCAACTTTGATTCACATTATAGAGCGAATTATATTGCCCCTCTTTACCATATGATTACGGTAGCAGCTTTTACCATACGGCATCATTATGAAGAAGCCTTCGTTACGAAGATTTTTCGGGAAAATCTGAAAATTTTTGCACTAAATTTTGAGCTTGTTGGTTTCACTTCTCAAATTTTTTGAATTTTCAAGGATTCTGAAACGTCGGTCGCATTTTTGGGAAATACTGAGAAGACAACTATCACAGTCTACTTGACATAAAGCATGAAAGAATTATAACGGTGCTGTACAAGCTCTACATTTAGATCTGTCGCGTCTGATAACCTAAGTGTAAAGGCTTTTCAATTGCTTGCTTTACATTCTAAAGCAAAGTACGGCCCTCTAAATCTTCAAAACGTTCATACCGCGATATTAGAGTGATGAAGAGTGATCGATGATTCGCTCCATACTGTAAAGGTAAATTTTTGAAGCCGTCTCTATAATATGGAAAATGGACGCCAAAGCTTCGCATACAAGAAGTTATCAAAGATCGAATGTTCGACACACTATCTTGGCACACCCGGTTTTTGCCCTGGAATCTGGGCTCTTTGCAGGATTGTATATCGTTGTCCTGTATACGAATTAGTTCGCAGTTTTACATAGTCTACAACATGACTCAAGCAAAGATAGTGGAGATAATATTGACACTGCTGCATTAGGTGCATGGTTTCACGCTTTGTATTCTACATAATATTGAGAAAAAGGAGCAGCTGGTACGACTGATAGTAAACACCCGTAACAAAAGTTAGACTGACATCCATTAATTTATTTTTAAAATCCAGAGTAACTTACCACTAGACTGCGACGGTGTAAAGATAATAACAGCTTCTGTGTCACTTGTGGAAAGTGCGCACTTGGTTACCGACGTACTTATGTGGCATGTAGCAAATTTCCGCAAAATCATTGATCATAAATTGTAAATTGTGAGTGGTAAATTATTGTAAAACTCCATCTACTCTGTAGTGACCCTGTAAATTCCATTTCAGCTGAATGCCGTGGTTTCCATGAAGTTCAATCAGTGTTGCGCAAGACGAATATCTCAAGGAGAGTTTGCATTTCTAAACGACATCTACAACATCGAACAACGCTACAGTTGATTTGTGTGTGAATAAGCTCAGAAGCAACGCTTACAATATGAATGTGTATGTGGATGTGCTTTCCAAATCTATAGGGACACTCATGCATTCTTCAATCTTCCAACTTGCAAGTAGGATCAATGTTTGAAGCAAACCTTCTCTAATCTGCTCAAAGAAGATTGAAAGATCGCTGAGATTCTACTCTGCTTTGATTATTGCCTGATATTCCTTGCAGAGAAAGCTTTCGAAGGAATGTAGAATTTCTTCCAGCAAATGTGCAAAAGGGTCGATACAAGTTGTTTTTCGCCGCCCAATGAAAGTAAAAATGGTCTTAGAAGTATTCCCATCCAGTGATATCATAGTAAAATTTGACTTCAAAGAAAAAGTCTGCAGCAATAAATAGAAGGTTATTTTTTTGGTGGAGTGCTGTGTATCACTACAAATATTATAGAAAATATTACCAGAATGAGCAGAATGTTGAATACATTCGACACCCATGAGAAAAACTATAACGTGAACGAGAAAAAAGCTATTATTTTCATATGTCAGAGCATCAAAGTAAAAGTAGTGTTATCGTTATCGTAGAGCATCAATGAGTGAAATTCTTCGTTGAGGGAAAATGAGACATGTAAGAATAGAGACTTGGTAGAACTGAAATCAAAAGAGTGAATTGGGTCGGTATGTGGTCATGATAAACGGATCACGGCGCTGTCTGGAATTTTCGGAAGATGCTTGGAGACAAAAGTTGCACACATGTGTATTGCATGTGGAGTATGCAACTTTATACTCTGCATAAGAGTCGGGGTTTGAGTAGCTAATTTGGCTTGATAGCAGTTATAAGGTCGTATCATAGGGTTTGCTCTACTAAAAAACGTTGACCAAATAGCTTGAAAGTGTCAAATTATTTTTAGCAAGTTTCAGCTTGCTTATCAAAGAGCTAAACTCCCAAGCTGCCTTCGTACTAGCACCGAGGCTAAGTGAATATAAGACGCTGCAAAGAAGGATGGAAGGATTTTGTTGTAATTACTATTTTTTACTGTAAGTCGTGGCCGTGAAGGTGAAAATGTGGAATGGATAGCTTTTGTCTTTCCCGCAGCCATTCCAAATATGAGTTTTGTAAAATTTGAGAATTTTTCGAAAGAAGAAGAAAAACTGTATTGAGACATAAGCAATATTATTCTGTCAGCTGAATCTTAGAGAACCAGTAGTTTGGTTGTGGTGGTTTCAGTTTGTCGCGTTTCGGTCCCCTTTATCAGCTTTCATCTTTGTTGGTTTGGGGCTGTTATTTGATGTAAGCAAGATAAGGCGAGCGATGTAATACCGCATATGATTTCCGTTGAAAGATGTACTAATGTCCAACTTTCCTTTCTACTCACAAGTTCAATTTTATTTCCAGTCCATTATTGATATTTACAGCCAGTGATTTAGCATTGACGTTTAGTATAGCTAGAATTTCAAATGAGCCCTTTATAAGCAGGCCAATGGAAAAAAATCGAGAAAATTGTCACTAAACTGTTGAAGAGGTTGATAAAACTGAGCATGGTAAAGGCCTTGATTTAAATCTTTTGATGATAATCATTTTGTTTCGCCTATATTCTCCCATGCGCTGACACATGGTTGAGCTGTGTTTTCCTCTCAAAAAGAAGCCTCTTTCAGCGAGCAAATACGATATCAGGGACACACGAGAATCTTTTACCAAATATCAGGTCGTTCTACAAATCATGCCTCATCTATCTAAATTGCACTACTCGTAGAAAATGATATATAAATCTTTTCATGATAGCACATATTTCTCTTTTTCTTTTCAGCAGCTATTTTCCGAACAAAATTCTCTCGTTCCCTTTGATGGTCGCCAAGGTTTTAAACTCGTTCTTTTCACTTTGTGTAAAATTAGCAAGATGTTTAAGATTTTTCTCTCAAGAAGTTGGAGGAGTTCTAACATCAAAAAGACAGACTAAACATCTTGCACTACAACACCTTCACTTTGGTTTCCCAGAACTGCCCTTCTAGCATTTTTAAGAATGCATTAATGCACTGCATTTGTCAATGCATTCAAACATAGAATGTTGATTTTTGAGCATCTCGGTCATCATTCGATGTATTTTCACAATTACGCACACTTCTGACCAGGTTTTCAACCTTTAAAATTTAAAGCGATAGAAACTAAGTTTTACTAAAGATTCTAAAAATTTCCAGCGTTTGTGCACTCATGTAATGCTCAGTTTCTCAAAGACGAAAACTTTTGAGAAAATCAATCAAATATCTTCGAAATTCAGGTGAAAAAGGAAAGGTGTTTTACATTCCCATCTGCTTGACAACAAATCCCTTGAAAACGTTTCACAGTAAGGTAAAACAAATTAAAAACGATGAATTTTGAACTTTGGCATTGATCCAAACGAACACAAAATGTCTCACTTCACAGTTCAGAAAGAGGAAGAAATGCATCGAGTACCTCTCAAAACTACCCTCCACCGTTCTTCATGCGACTTGTCATTAGGTCCAAAAAGGCATAACCATCTAGTAGTTCAATTACCATAATCTGAGTCACACTTCCTCTTCCTGGGAGCTCAATTCGTTTTCATTACCTGTTGATGCGTACCATGTGTTTCCCAACAAGTTTGAAGGACATTCTTTCTTACTACCGCTAATCAACTCTTGCCTCTCTATCCAAGTATGCCTTTGATTCACTGATTCATACAAATAATTCTGGTTGTTTTAATTGCGTGATTCCTTTTCAAAGACATTTTCTAGGGACATGAGAAACCTCTACAGCCACATAATAATGCTTCTCGTTCCCATGAATGTTGCAGCAGAAAAGTTTCGCGTTATGACCTTCAATACGTGGAATTCGGGATCACATGTTCGAGATGGACTTCAAAAAATCGCAAAACATATAGCTCTCGTGAACCCGGACATAGTAGCACTGCAAGTACGTTACTGCTTCTAAATCATCATGCAAATCCGTATCTTAGGAAGTGCAAAAACAGGATGACTTACCAACATTGTTGGACTACTTGGGCAAACCTTGGACGGGAGTAGCAAGGGATGCCACATATCCGGATTTGGCTATCGTTTGCAGGCACGAGGTTCTACTGTTTACGATAAAGATAATTTCCTGTTGAATCAAGCTCGCACAACATCATGTATCTCTTTAGATGTCCTTGCACACGCAGATAAGCACAAATCGGTCAATAGGTGTAAGAATTGCATTATCGTCAGGCAACTTTGTCAACTTCGTGTCCGTTCACTTTGAATACAAATCCTTTGGACCATATGCTGCTAATAACAAAATGGTGACCATGTTGAATCAAATACTTGTTGGAGAAAGACCAGTCACAAAAAAAGGTTTGAAATCGTTTCTCTAGAAAGTGCGTACCACTTATGTTTATGATATCATAAGGAGAACGTGATCCAACGTACACGGGAAAATTCTCTTATAAATAACAGAATTGCCACTAAAACGAAGTAGTTGCAACAATCCGAAAAAAGAGAAGAATTATTCTTTTTCTAGCACTTTTTGCTCAAGGTTGAGGTAAGTGTAAAGTTTGTATTCTTTTTTCTTCAGCATCGTACATGTCGTAATTACATTGTCGCGCATCCTAATTTGATAGATGTTTTTGTGGGGTGGAGGACTATATGTCGCCGAAAGGTGGCGGTCCCCGCGGTCATCTGCGACAAATGCGCACCTTTGCACATGCCTAGAGGTGCGTTCTTGCAAGAAGTCCAAGCGGAAGCCACCCTTATTCGGCGACATATAGTCCTCATCCCGTATTTGTGTAACAATAAAACTCCGATATGTAACATAACCGACCGATTCTATTAATTGGTACAATCGCTTTTTAGCCTGATATGAGATGCGACGTAAGTTTCTAGGTATAAACAGGGATCGACACGAAGTGGCTAGTTGAAAATGCAAAAGACGGTCCCCTTGACTTTTGCAAATTTTTGCGAAGTTCCTTTGACCCTAGATTATAGTTCCTAAATAACGAAACTCGCAAATTTTATATCTTTTCGGCCACAAAAAAACGATACCCCCTTTACTTTCTGTCCCAAAAACGATATCTAGCCTGCTTATAAGCCACCTGTGCCGAGCCCAGCTGCTGTGCTGTAGCAACCTGACTTAAAATTCTTTTTTCGTTCGAAAAGTACATCAACCATAAATGTAACTGCACAATGAACTAAAAATTTACTTGAGGAACTTATGAGCACTTTGCATAATGCGAAACATTAAATACATCGAGTCATTGCAGGTAGAGCTCAAAATATGGAGGAAGTTCTACAGCATCCTGAAATTAGCAAATGGTTGAATAATAGCGATTTAGTGCCCTTTGTATTAGCGGGCGATTTTAATTCGCCTTCTCACTTGGACTGGATCAATGAAACAAGGTGTAAAGCCACTGCCACAATTCATATAAAATCTCCCAAGCGTGTCTGTTTAGAGAAGAACATGGTGGATGGGTGATAGACTGGCCAGCAACGAAAATTGCAGAGGAGGCTGGATTGATGGATTCATTCCGTATTTTACATCCCAGTGTTTTAGATGAACCAGGTCAGATCGAAAATCTGAGTAACAAGATAAATTATTATTACCTAATATCCCAGGAAATACATGGTCAACTGTAAATAAGTTTATGGCTGAATGGGAGTTTCAGATTCCGGAACCTCAGGACCGAATAGATTACATACTCTACAAAGGTAAAGACAAATTTCTCTTCTAAAAACTCTAAGCGGTCTTTATTCCAGTGAGTTTGCTTATTCTTCTTTTTTAGGCAACATCTTCCCCATAGAGACTATTTTGTACTCTGGCAGAGAAAGTCTCAAGCCAATGCCGGATCATCGAGAAAACGACTATCCCTCAGATCATTACACCCTTATAACTGATTTTGAGTTTACGTATTCAGAACGTTGTAGTATATGCTCATGATTTTTTTATCCCTCACGTGCGTGTTCCGCAGTGCCTGTGTACATAAAAAGTCAATGCCGAGCCTACTTGTATGATAGCACCAGATCGTACAGAGTGTTAATAAATATGCAAAATACAGGGTGTCCCAAAAGTATGTATCGAACGTTTGATCGTTAATATCTCTCTTCCCAAGAAGTCTTTTGCCTTGCTTCAAGTACCATTTTGTAGAGCTGGCTTCAACTTAGATTTGCATTAAAGAACGAATCACCCATCTCTCTTCATTACTGTAGGATTACGGTAGAAACTTGAAACATATGATGTCAATGTGGAAAAAGCTGCAGTTCCAAAATTCTTCAAAAAATTGTGAAAACTTGTATAATAGGGTTTTTATGGATGCTGAGTTCAATACTCAACTATTCACAAGATTACAAAGCTTTCTAAACGGTGTAATCGCACTTTTTAGGAACATTGAAAAAATGGCCGCTACCTCTTACCTGGCATAACTCCTCAATGAAGCATCATAATAAGTTGGGAACTTTACAGTTATAACCAGCAACTCTAATTAGCCTAGTGTGAAAACTTTCAGGCTGTTTTATTTCCTTACTAAGGCAAAATATGGCCTTTCATTGCTTAAAACCCTCTTTGAAGTTTCTACCGTAATCCTACAGTAATGAAGAGGAATGAGTGATTCGTTCTATAATGCAAATCTAAGTTGAAGCTAGCTCTACAAAATGGTACTTGAAGCAAGGCAAAAGACTTCTTGGGAAGAGAGATATTAACGATCAAACGTTCGATACATACTTTTGGGACACCCTGTATATATTCGGTGAGAGTACATGGGTTATAGAAGCTTAACCAAAAGCACACAAATTCGTGTGCGCTTAATGCGATTAACAATGGTATGAGCAGCTTCATCGCACACTCTAGTTAACGGCATCTTTACTGACAGCTCCTGAAACTCTGAATACATTCTCCTCAGGGGCTTGTCAACTTGGCATTCGGAAAGTAAGAGAACAGCATCAACCAGTACCCTTAAAAACACTATTGCAAAACAACACAATCTTTTCGAAAGATGCAAAACCATATTGGATGTTTGCGAATAAATCAGCTTGCATTCTATGCGATCTATCCTCAGGATCTGCAGATCGGTTGGAAATTTTATAAATAGCATTCAACCCTGTATTTGATCGACTGGTCAACGAATGTGGTGTCCTAGACTGACCAAAGCGCTACTGTAATTGAACAAATCTTAGACTATAACATCAGCGTTGAAAAGCACATTTACCGTAATGCATGTTATGATGAGCTGGCCTTTGGACTTGGGTTAAAGTCCATTTCTATCTATTTATAGTTGTTTGTAAAGTGACAAATCCTATCAAACTTTCCGTTTTTTCTGCTCATGTCACAAAGGAGTTGTGCTTTAGTATAAGAAGAGGGGAAAACGGTAAGTGTAAATATTTGAAAGAGAACATAACTTGCTCAGTTAGATGTTTGGATGGTTTCCTCACATGTCGTGCCGGCCCGCCACAAAAGCCAGTTTTCAATGTTTCTGTCTTCTCGCTTGTTATCGGTGGCTGCGCCCACGATTTCTAGCTACCACAATCATTTAGCTGACTTTTCAGGTGATTCACCTTTCCGATAGCCCATCTCGTTGTTGATCATCTCCGAGGACAGTTTGCTTTGCCCTATCGGAGCTCTGAAGGGGCGTTTGAGTAGAACAAGGCTCGAAGCTCTTGGACTCTTCAGCAGACAGCATTGCTTTTTTTCAGAATAATCGCCTTTTACGACTTTCTTCCCCCCTATCCACTCTCAAATACGACCCCTTTTCCAGGTGCACCCCAAGCTTAACCCTGGATGTTATGTGCGAAACAAAAATCTCTTGTGAACGATTCCTGAACGAACGGAAAGGTGATCTGTGCTGAAGCCATGGACGTCTTCATGGACTTTATAACAGTGCGCACTTCAGCAGGTAAGATCCATAGTAGTATTTTCTAGGACGAGCTTCGGCAGGGTTCATGAGAGGAGTATATTGGCATGTGGCGGTCATAGGATCCGTTCGAGGGAGAAGGGAGCGGCAAAAAAAATTTTTCCAAATGAAGCCACGCATTTTGAAAAATTTTTTGAGGTCCTTTTCAGACTGTTTGCGATCTCACGACTCCTATCAAAAAGGAGGCGTGGCGGCAGAAACCCCCAAAAAAATTTTTTTCAAGGCAAATTTGAATTTTCAGCATATTTTAAAAGTTATTTCAATTATGCATATTATTACACAAGTCACTTGCACATTTCTATATCCCTAGTATAAATTTCAAAGATTTCGCGACCCATTTTTCGGAAGGGGGGCCTCCCCCTCCCATCTCCTCTTGGTCCGCCACTGGCTGATAAATGTTTTTTTTGCAATACATTTCATTTTTCAACAAGAATAAGCCAAAGTCTCGTCCGTCTTCGTTTGATACTAGTGCTGCCGCGTGCGATTTGACGAGCTTCATGAACTATAGTACGCATCAAGCGGTAGTCTATCAACAAGGTGCGCACCGCTGCGATCTCATCGCAGGGATTTCGATGGTTTGAGCGTTGAAAACGCGACGACGAAATCGCTCAGTATATGGGCATAGTGCAGCGATTGCAAGTAGATAGTAGCATATTTCACTTCCTTCACTCTTACCATCTAGCCCTGCTCATGCCGATCGTGATGCGTAGAGTGCAAAAATCTTAAGATCCGTCCACCTTCCAGCAAGTCAATTTTCACGAGCTTTCCAGTTTTTAGCAAATTAATTCAATTCGCCTGCAGTTGTTGGCCACTGAAGCTGACAGCTACAATTAGGACACTCTTCACCAAGTTTTTGGCAAAACAAACAATCGCAAAGAAGCAAAATTTAGGGAGATGACGTGGGCTTTTGTACTGGTTCAGCAAAAGTCTACATTGACTTCTTCTGACGAATGAATGGAACAGCACCGTGAAGACAGCGAAAAACTCAATAACCGTCCCGTGCTAATGCATGAGTATAGAAACAAATTCTCCTACATTTATGCGGATAGGAAAACGTGAGATTAATTAATCAAGCGAAATGATGAAGCGATTTACTTTGCAAGAACCAACAACCCAATAGCTATGTCCCTTAAAAAAAGCAGTTCAAAAAACAAATCAGTAAGATTTGGTAAGGAACGGGAAACGGGATTTCGTACTTAATCGGACGAGAAAGGACATTGTAATTTCAAGTTTTTCTGCACAACCACTTCCGATAACATTTCCTTCTTCTTCTTCAAACAAATACAAGCTAAAACATGAATGTATGTTTACAAGAAAGTCCCCAGATCTTCGCACCTCAGCGATACCGCCCAGTCGCCGACGCAGCACGCGCGACGCGACTTAGTTTTGTCATAATCGCGGCGATCATCGCTGGAGAACTATGCCGTAGCCAATAACGGCCAGCGATCCGTCGCTGGACGACTACCACAACTGCTCTTCAATTTAATCCCGACCTTGCCATCCGACAGTCCGATAGTATCTCGAATATTCGTAAATAATGACGGTTGTTCATTTGAGTTGCAAGCGACTGAGAAAGAGCGTTTAAGGTGCTCTACTGCAGCACTGACGTTGATGGAAGCTTCAACACCATTCCATTGTGTCGTTACACAAGTTCGTGCCGTTTTCATTCTCGTGCTCATTCTTCTGAAGGGTGGTTGTTCTGCGGCAAAATGCGCCTATCATCGGGAAGAGCTGATCATGCTGTTTATAACGACGAACCTATTGGTTGTAAATCTGATCAACTTTAACTTCCAAACTTCCGATGGAATTCTCAAAAGGCAAAAAATCATTTTCACACAGATTCACATTCTTGCAAAGAAAGTGTTTTTGCATAGATTTTTCTACAGATTATTGAAAATGGCGTTACCGCATCAATATGAGACACAAAGGAATTGGATTGCTTTCAAAGGCCACGGATTGAACAAGTGCGCGTTAAACAAGATTCTTCTAGGACCAGCAGCGTCCAGCACTGAAAAATGCTGGACAGCAACAAACCGGTTGAAACGGTTAGCAACCCATTGCACCGTTCAACAAATGCCTACTTCAAAAAAAAACTCAAAAGACTCCGGTGAGTTTCTCTACACGACAAAAAATGGCTCGGTACGGACGCCTTCCTGCACTGCAAGACTTGAGAAGGTACTTCAATGCCCAACGTACTTCTCAAGTATCGCTCTACATTACCAATTGTACCGCCTTCTTGAAAACCATGTGAACGATGCTAGTTGCGATTCTGAAGACGATCTCAGGCCCTGGTAAGTTGACTTTATCCAGATTCGCCGTTTGAAAACTGAGCCCAAAATTTGATGGAAACGTAGGGGAAGGTTGTGCGCATCATGTTAACTAGACTGTACCAGGCGAATGATGGAATACCGTCATTTTGTTGGTTCATAAAACGGCACGAACGATGTAATGACCTAATATTTTCAACTACTACTTTTCAAACGGTGAGATCAAATTAATAGCTTCAAGTAAGACCACAGAACTGCAATCAAGAATTAGTGTACATCATTGTGGAATAGAAGTTCAATGCGATTATACCCTAGTGCTATTATCAAATTGCTTCTCTGGCTTAAACAACTGCCTGACTGAAGTTGATCGAGCTGTATGAAAACAATCAAAGATAAAAGAAGAATGCGTACATTTTGACATGACGATTTGAACGTTTCCTAATCTCTCGATTTTTCTTGTAGTTACAGCAAAAATACCCCTATTCTTTCCAATACACAACTACAGAGCATTAACTCAAAGATTTTTGATTTGGCGTCCAAGATGGAGTTAAAGTTAACTGCTTGCCATGATGTTTCGGCGAATTGTCTTCTTCTAGAGGATGTTCAATGGTTGCACACAAAAGGTTTGTGCGAATTCCGCACTTCAAGTTTTTCCATAAAGGTTATATAGCAGACACGTCAGAACGATGTTTGCCCGCGTTTCAGTTGGCAGTTGTCTTTGATGTGCCAATGAATGAAAGGTCGAGGTAAGAGGACGCGCAGGCTTG